GTCTTGGGGAAGAAGGGAGTCACCAGCAGACAGAGGGAGCAAGACATGCAGGAGAAGAAATAAAGGCTATGAGCCACATGACAGCACATAGATGAATAGAAACAGGTTAACTTAAGTTATAAGAACTAGTTAATAGAAACAGGTTAATTTAGAAACAAGCCTAAACTACAAGCCAAGCTTTCATTAAAAAGTCTCCATGTAGTTTTTGTGAGCTGGCCGCCTAAAGAAATATCCGGCTACATCAGTCCTCACTGAAATATCAGTAAAGACCACATGATAAACTATTTATACTCATTAAAATTACTAATGTTGGGGCTGGTGAGGTCATAAGAGCATTGACTGTTCTTGGCAAAGTCCTGAATTTATTTCCCATCACCCACATGATAGCTCATAAACCATCGGTAATTCCAGATTGATACTCCCTTCTGGTCTCCAAGGGCACCAGGCACATAATTGGTATGCAGACATAATGTAGGCAAATCACCAGTACATATTAAAAAATGTTTAAAGGGCTCACGTTTAAATGATGGATCACATGTTAGTGGCACAAGTGGAACTGTTGGGTACTGCTGGTGAGGACTGAAAATGATAGTAGTTTGGCAGTTTCTTGAAACCTGAAACACCATCTAGCTATTTCACCCACGTGATCATGCAGCAGTTTTTATGCAGATGCTCAGTGTTATTTATAGTAGCCACAGACCACATAGCCATTCTGTGAAGGGTGTCCAGGTCTTGAGAGGCTTCAGCCCATAGTAATATACATCAAGCTGCTCACGAGTCCTAGTAACACAAACCAGTCAGAACTGGGCAGTTATCAGATAGCTCAAATGCTTTACATGAGAGCTTTCATTCTGCTTGAGGCAATTAATGTCCCTTCTCAGGTCATTAGTGTCCTTTTGGTAAAATGTAAAGAAGAGCCAAAGTCAGGACCAAAGCACCAGGGTTGTTGATACCAGACAGGCACAGATGGAGGTCAGTGCAAGGATGACCCTCAGCAGCCCTTCCCTCCTAAGCCACTAAGCCTGTCTTGTAGTGTGTCTGGCTGGTTTCTACTCAGTGTATTCCTGATTGAAGATGTTGGTATTTATTATGTGCGTATCTGGTACCAGGGCAGGTCAGAAGGTACTAGCTGCCCTGGAGTCAGGTTGCAGACACTGTGAGCCATCACATGGTAGGAATCAAACCCAAGCCCTCAGCAAATACAGTGCTCTTAGCCACCGAGTCACCTCACCACGCGCAGTCTTTTACGTATGGCTTCTTTCTCTCAGCGTGCTTGCACTCATTTGTGCTGTCAGGAGTTCATATCTCTGAAGAACTGCGTGCTCTTCTCTAATCGGCCTACTGTGGTGGTTCTTACAAATGAGGTCTTTCGGGGTAGTCAAGGCTAGATGAGGTCATGACGATGAAGCCTTCCTTGTGGGATTAGTGGCCTTCTGAAGTGATGCCAAAAAGCTTGCTTTCCCATTCTCCACCCCATGCATACATGAAAAAAGAGGTCCTGTGTGCATAGGCCAGAAGAGACCTCACGATTAAATCTACTTGCTGGTAGATTTTGATTTTGAACCTTCACTCTTCAGAACAGAGAGAAATAAACTTTTCTTCTTAATGAGCCATTGTCTCTGTGCCATCTTGGCTGCCTGAGCAGACAAAGAAATAAGAGGAAACAGAGACTGGCATGCATAATAAAACTCAGGGTGACAGCCCACCTCTGGGAACACCAGCAGTCCCCTAAGACACCTGCCAGAAGTTGCTGTGGGGACCATGGATAAAAGCAGAGGAACTAAACCCTGAATGACAACCAGAACAACAAGATGAGCCGCATGTTCATGACAGACAGTGAGTTCAGGTATTCTGAAGTTCCCAAAAGCAGAAAGAATGGCTGTGAACGTGGCAGCCAGACTTGCTTGAATTAGCACCTCCAGCAGCGGGTTGAGGGGAATCGAATCGTGTCTGGCCAAAGCAAGCCCTGTCTGTGCTCCTGTCCCTCTTGGGACTGCTCCAGTGCTGAGTCAAGTGTTTTCCTCTCAGGGTTGCCCTTTATTTCTGTGTAAGGAAGCCAGCCTAGGGCTGTACCTTGGCTGTGAGCTAGAAAGCGTCTGAGACAGCGCATGTCAAGAATGGGGGAGGGGCACAGCTGAGGGAGGAATCAGAGGCTTTGTCAGACTTGATGAAGTTATCCCTCTCAGACAGAAGTGACACAATGGGCCTTTTTGGTACCAGACTTGGTCGCCAAGGAATTCACTTTCCAGGAGCAGCCACTTTTGTCACGAAGGATAGATACTATTCTGGTCCATCAAACAAGCCCTTCCTAAGAGCCAGCAAGAAGGCAGTTCTGCTGGAGGCAAGTCTGGGGGAACTACTTACTCCCTTGGTTCTGGGCAGCTAAGGAGTAAACACCCAGACAGAAATGGGTGGGGTTAAGCAGAGATCTCAACACAAACCCTGGGTGCTTCAGTCACTAGGAGGCGCAGGGCTGGGATTTGCTAGGGTGTAATGGATGTGTTTCTTTGATCGTCCCAACCCTTCAACAGCTTTTTATCAGTGTCAATTTGAGATGGGTAAGATGGTGTTTGTTTTGTGGGCTCTGCATAATTTGTCCCCCTCAGGGCCACCCATATGGTTTCCAGGTGACCAGAGGCCCTAGCAGCAACTCTCCTCACTTGGCTCATGACTTCTTGGCACATTATAAAGTGCAGTACAGGTGTTAAGGCCTTGTCCGTTGCCTCCCTGCCCCGCCCGTGATGAGGAGAGGACCGAGTTGGGCTTGTTACAGAAGTGCTGGCTTCCTCTGGACACCTTCCCTGGGAAGACTGGCTTTGCTCCAACCGAGGGGACCCTGATGTCCCAGCAAGAGGAGAAGCAGCAAGGTTGGCAGATGTGCTGAGTGTGTAAAAAAGCGTCACAGCCGGAACTCCTCAAGCCATCGTTGCTCTTCTTATTTGTTTTTGCATGCCAAATAGACAGGCGTGGAGAAGGGAGAGGCATTTCTGGCTTCACATAGCTCCCTTGTCTCATGTGGCTATGGCTTTAAGAATTTAACATTCTGTCCATGGCCCACGTTCAGCTCTCGTTCTGAGTATGCCTGTAAGTATGTGAGTCTGTACTACAGGTGCCCCACTTGAAGAAAACAACGGATGTATAGCAAGCCCAAACTAATTTATTAAAGTCTTATGTTGGTGAGGAATGAAGAATTGCCATATGACTTGGAAACAGCAATGCTTCCGCACAGTCAAAGTTTACAATACAAGCAGGGCTGCGCAGATGGCTCGCTGCCTTAGTGGTTGAATCCCCAGAAGGCATGTAGAAGTGGGACATCATGTCACGTGTCTGTGACCCCAGTACTAGGGGGTGGAGATGGGAAGATCCTAGGAGCCTGCTGGTCTAGCTAGAGGTTCAGTGGGGGACTTTGAAACACACAGTGGGAAACAATAGAGGAAGATGTGTCAGACACCCATGCCACCATACACCTTCCGACAACCACACAAACACAAGTGGCTTTGGGAAGACGCTGTCTAAAATGAAGTGGTCCATGTGGCTGTTGCTGGGGAAATGGGTCCAATCATGAGAGAGATGGAGGATAGTAAGGGGTTCCTGGTGGAGCCGATCACAGCATGGCAATTTACAAGCAGTTTCTGAAGAGCAATCTGAGGAACAAAGAAAGACTAAGGGGTGTGGTGTGCACAAGGGACACAGCCGCTTTTGTTTGTTTAACAAACAAGGGGACCTGGGTGGTTCAGAGGTGTAGGGTGAAGGTATCCAAGGCAGACTAAAATATTGGAATGAGGATGCTAGAAGGAGCCTGTGAAGTCGCCAAATCCATCTCCTGATTCTTTTTTTTTTTTTTTAATTTATTGTGTATATAGTCTTCTGCCTGCATACCAGCGGAGGGCACCAGATCTCATTCAAGGTGGTTGTGAGCCACCATGTAGTTGCTGAGAATTGAACTCAGGACCTCTGGAAGAACAGTCAGTGCTCTTAACCGCTGAGCCTTCTCTCCAGCCCCTCATCTCCTGATTCTTACATAGTGACTTGGTCTAGGGTAAGTGCCTCTAGCCAGCTGGTCCCTAGACACAGTATCTTCTTGTACCTTGTCACTCCACTGCTGAGCCAGCTTGGTCTCTTCTTTAAGCCTGACGCCTGTAATAGTCTCTAGAAAGTCTTCCTTCTCTTGTCCTGCCCCATTCCATGGCCTAGTCTTTTCCACACAGCCTTGACACTTGAGATCTTAAGTTCGCTGAACCTGTGACTAGTCTGACCTGGGAGAACTCCACAGCACATATTGGAGCTTTACATCCCTTAGGTACCCAGCAAGTACGAGTGACAAGTATGTCCTGGTCACAGCACAAACGCAGCCTCACATGTGTCCTTGTACATACCTTAGTTTAGCACTTTAAAGACAAAACTGTGGTGCATAAAGACAAAGATTTGTTGTGATGCAAAATTGCCTCAGGGGAAAGTGTTCAGTTGGCTCAGCCTTGAGGGCAGTCATCTATGAGAACATTTCAGTTCCCTTCAGTAGCAACACCTATGACAGTTTCCTTTCAAACACTGTGAGTGGCATCTGTCTCTACACAGTAAAAGGACTCTCATTATCACAGAGTTAGAAGGACATAAGCATACCACCCTGACACTTATTTCCTGTTAGACACATCTGTAGCCACTATGAAGTTGACCAGTATTTGCATGCAGATGGATTCTGGCAGCAGAAAATTCTACAGCTTGTCACTGAGTTTTCTCCACTCTCTTCACTTCGAGTCAAAAAAACCCAAGGAAGAAACCCAAATTAAGAAAAACTACCTGGGTAGATTGGATCACACCCATAATTCCAGCACCTGGGCGACTGAGGCAAGAGAATTAGCATGTGTTACAAAGATCAGCTGGGACTACATAGTGAGCTCTAGGCCAACCTGGGTTATAGAATGAGACCTTGACTCAAAAAAAAAGGAAAAAAAAATCCATAGAAACAGAACGTTAGATTTTAAAGCATTTAACAATCACAGTCAAACAAAAAAGATTTTATTTTAAACAGAATAAATTTACATACAGTGCATAAGCAAGACAGCCGAAGGCTTCCAAAACAGAAACCTGAAACATATGGTCTGAAATACCACATGCTGTGATTACCTGGGAAGATGAGGTGTGTATTTGGGCAAGAAAATCCCTTTATCAGGCACGGTTTAGTGACTTCATCAAAGGGTATTAGTTTAAGGGTCTTGCCAATGTTTCTTTCCAGTATATTCAGCTAGGGTACAGGTCTGAGCAAATAGGACATAAAAATGACAGCTACTTAGAAGGCAGGTTCTAGATGGATGCCTTGGCCTGAAGTAGAAGCAAGATGGGAAGAAGGTGTGTTATTCTTCCCAATTCCCAGAGTGGTCAATATACCTAAAAGCTTTGGTGTCAAGGTTGGCAAGGCTTACAGTGGACAATCTAGTGAGGGTGACAGTTGCCCAGATCAAGAGGGCCTTTGGACTAAGATTGGGTCTTAACCAGCAGGGGGCAGTCTTTCCCTAGAGAGAAAATCCAAGTGTCTTGAAAGAACATTTACTCAGGGTGAGGTGCTCTCTGAGGAGTATGAATGAAACGAATTGAGAGGCATCAACAGAGGCAAACCGTGATCAAGCAATAGCTTTTAAAACCAATACTGTGGGAATCCAAAACTAAACTTGGCATCTCCAATAAATAATTCCTCTTTTTGTGGTTATCAAGCATATCAGAGAGTGACCAGTCATGACAAATTCTTGGGCCACTGTTTAATGTTGTGTGGCTAATATATTCATCCTCCATCTAAATTATGTAAGCAGAACTTTAAGTTCAGCCATCCTTACAGTTGTCAGTTTCCCCATTGTTGGGATTTAAACTTAACCACTCACTCCCTCTGCTGTGACAATAGATACAGCCCTTCTTTCACAAAGATACACCCGAGGAAGCTGAGCCTTTTGTCCCTAGGCTTCAGACAAACCAACTAAAATCATCCCATGTAAATATCAGCCTGTATTACAAGCTCTAGTTTGATGGGGGGGGGATGTACCTCATCAACAGCTATGCCTGGAGGACAGGCAAGAGAACATGTAGGCCAGGGCTTGCAACACCCCAGCCAGGGAGATGAAATACCCTTAGAGCAAAACCACCCAAAAGGTGGGTCATTTTAATCCCCGTTCTTAGCTATGGTAAATGAGAGAAGAATTGTTAAGTTAAAAATGGGCATTTTGTTAAGAATTGTTCTTTTTGTTTGTGTTTTCAAGACAAGGTTTCTCTGTGTAGCCCTGGCTGTCCTGGAACTCCATCTGTGGTGGACCAGGCTGACCTCAAACTCAGAGATCTGCCTGCCTCTGCCTCCCCGAGTGTTGGAATTAAAGGTGTGTGTCACCATGCCCAGCCCAAGAATTATTTTTGAGAAATTAGAATACTGTGTTTAGTACCAAAGAACATCATTCTAACATAGGCCATGGGGCATATACTTAAAATCAGAGAAAATATTGGTCTTGGTTTTCACACTGAATGCAAAAGTCTGAGCCTCCATAACTTTTAAGGGGGGGCTTAATTTTGTCCTGTGTGTGTGGATAGAAACAATGGTTTCAGTGGCACCATCCCTCAAAAGATCGATAACTATGCATTCTCATCAACTTTTCAAGATGGGTTGGTACCATCCTGATCATTATTCTGAAGAGGAGTCCAGGGAAGAAGCTCTTCACTGTTGTCATCATAAAAAACACCCTAGATCTAAGAAGGGACACACTAGGTTTAATGGGTGTTAGAGTTAACTGGCTTATTTTCCCAAAATAGGCTGAAGTTGTTCTTGCATTAATGACAGTTAAAATCGCCAGGAGAAGAGGTGGGAGACTGAGAGGGAGTCCCTGACTCTGCCCAGCAGGTGAATAATTAAAAAACAACCTATAGAAAGTAGCTGAGTAGATGAGGTAACATCAGGAGGATGAGCAATGTCTGGGGTGCCTAGCATCTTTTGGTCAGGCTTCCAGAGGACGAACTGGAAGTGCTGAAGACCAAGTAGGAGAGAGCAGGAGTCCCAGCTTGTCCTTGTTTCCACCTGTGAGGAGGTAGCAGCCTGCCAAGCGTGGCTCGGACTAGTGCGGACACTGAGACCTGGGAGGCTGCACACTATGTTCGGGGAAGGTCAGCTTCTTGCTTCACTAACAATGCCTGCAGCAGCTGGGCTGATAAGGCAAGCAAGCTCTTCCCGGTGGCCTCTTAGCTCTGCTACTGCCTGTAGTCTCTTCACAGGAAACTTTACTCCAGATGGCCTCGCCTCCCACTCAGGCACAGTTCAGTCCAACTTCAGCCCAAGATGTCACTCTGTCCAAAGAGTGCAATTTCTATGGTGCCACAGAATTCCAGTTTGGGGAATGAGATTAGGCATTAGGCAAGGTTGTACCTGAAAAGAAGTGTTCTGCCTCCATATTAGCTCAAATCTGTTGGCTCTCTAGAGGCCAGTAGGGCTTGTAGACATTCCAAGTCAGGCCACACTTCCTGTCCACCCACGACTGACTCCTAAGTCCATGTAACAGAAAGGGGAGGGGTGGCCTGACAGACATCAGGTATGGTTTCAGGCTGGGGTCAATGGAAGCACAGTCCTTACAGACCAATCTCACTGCTGGTGCCACAGCAGTGGCATCTATGCTACAGTCAGCAAAACAAAAATATGACTTCAGATGTCCTTAAACAGGCAGGGTTGAGATTGCCCTAACTGACTGCTTTCTCTTATTTTGCCTCTCACATTCATGGACTAGTTTCCATCTGTTTGGGGCTCAGAGCAATCCCAAAAACCTGTGCAACATTGGCACAAAAGTCGTGGCACAGAGGCCAACAGATGTGTAGGTGACAAACTTGTAAGGGACTTCGATCTCGAGTCTTCGCCTGGCCTCCTTGTTTCTCGTCACCACCTTGAACCATGAGAATAACACTTGCAGCGAGAGGTTTTGTACAAGTTGACGAACCAAAACGATCAACACAATTCCCACCATAAACTTGGTCAGACCCAAAACCAGCATGTCTGTGGTGAGGGCTGGGATGCTCCGAATGACAGGAAAGGATGGGGTGGGCTGGGACACCAGCTGGAAGAAGTGGTTGATCCAGAACCCGAGGGTGACTCCAGCCCCAGCCGCCACGACGGTGGTGGTGTCCGCCCTGGTTGGGCTGTAGTAGTCTGACACGGGGTAGTTGTAGCACAGGAAGAACGGCACAACTATAGCACACACAGGGAAGAGGGGGCTGGCCGAGTCCAGGGAGTCGATGAGGGTCCAGGCGGGGTAGGTGAGGGCAATGAGGACGGCAGTGATCAGCACACCACCCAGCACATCCTGCCAGGAGAGAAAAGCATGATGGTTGAGTAACACTTGAAGTACAATCTTTGTTTTATTTTATCATATGTATTCAAAGGAAATATGAATCGAAGAATTTGAAGTGAAAATAGGGGATAATATACCTAGCCACCATGTTACAAATGTTACATACTTTTCTTACATGAGAGTTTCTGGTTTTGTTTGTTTGTTTGTAACAGTCCTGGCTGTCCTAGAACTCCCTTTGTAGACCAGTCTGGCTTCAAACTCACTGAGATCTGCCTGCCTCTGGGGATAAAGGCTTGTACCACCACTGCCTGGATGTGTTTCTGTATTTTAGAATAAATTCTGAATTTTTTTTTCTGAGTGGTGATAGTCTTGTGGTCATTGAATCTTACTTTATTATATCTACTTCCAGTCACAAGAATTGTCATAGTCTTCACAGATGTGGCACCATTTTTTCTTGGCAGACAGTATGAGGTTGTTAAACTCTAGTACTGAATTTTAAAAAACTGAATATTAAACATTACCAACTGGATTACTCATTAGCTCCTTAAACCCACTTGTCCAGAATAAAAACCATGGGAGAAATGCTTGCGTCAGTAAGTAAGGTACTAGACATTTATGGCAAAGGAAATACACTGTTTAATATTTCTAATATTTAAAATATTCCAACATTAACTCTTAATAAGACAAAAGACTCAAACCATACTGGAGAGAACTGAAACTTGTGTTTCTATAACAGCTAGTATTTGAATGTTTATAGAGATTATATTAATCCCCAAACTGGAGACAACCCCAGATTCTTGATTGGATTGATGGGTTAATAACCTGTGGTATATTTATGTACTGGAATGTTTTCAGCAATCAAAAAGCAATGAACTACTGATGCATGGTACAGCTTGGATAAGATCTCCAGGAAATTCTGCTGAATGGAACAAGCTACCAAGCTCCAAGGGTTACATTGTTCTGTTTATATGGCATTTCTAAAAGACAAAACCATAGTGACCAAGAAAAGTGTCAGCTATTGCCTAGAAAACTTGGGTTATCTTGTATGATCATAAAGGATGTCAAGAGGCAGTCTGAGGATAATGAACTATTCCATTCTGAGATGGTGACTGTACAAGCCATAAAACTTTAAACAATTACTACATTATTTTATGTGTGCGTGCACACGTGTGCATGCTACAGCAGGCCTGTGCATGCTCAGCTGGGTCCTTCTCCTCTTCTACCACGTGGGTCCCAAGGATTGCTCGGGTCATCAGGTTTGGTGGCAAGCATATTTACCTCTTGAGCCATCTCATCAGCCCCCAAATCACAGCATTTTATGCCAGCAACAGTCAACTTTTTAAATTTAACATTTCAAACAAATGAAAATGAAAAATGCTAGTGGGCTCCTATGCTCACATCTACTAACCTTGCCAAGTGCCAGTTATTGCAGCTTAAAAAGTCCCAGAGGCTTGGAGGAGACATCCCTAACTTCATACTCTACCTTCTCAGACTATGCTAGGAATCCCGGTCTTTCTGCCAGATTCTGTTAGCTGGGCATGGTGGTGCATGTGTACAGTCTCAGCGTTTGGTAAGTGGAGGCAGGAGGATAGGGAGCTCCACATAGGTATGAGTTGTATAGTGACAGTCTGTTTCAAGAAACCAAAGGGCTGGGCAGCTGTGGTTCATGCCTTTAATCCCAGCACCTGGAGGCAGAGGCATGAGTTCTACAGGGTGAGTTCCAGGACTACCAGGGCTACGGAGAGAAACCCTGTCTCGAGAAGAAGGAAAGATAGGAAAGATAGGAAAGATAGGAAGGAAGGAAGGAAGGAAGGAAGGAGAAAAGACACCAAAGGAAAACTTTAATCTGTTAACGAAGCTGTCTACCTGTATGCAAAATGCCACATGCTTTTTTAAAAGTACACCTTTAATCTCAACACTCAGAGGCAGAGGCAGGCAGACTTCTGAGTTGAGGCCAGCCTGGTCTACAAAGCGAGTTCCAAGACAGCCAAGGATACACAGAGAAATCCTGTCTCAGGGTGGAAACAAAAGGACACACTTATCTTCTGACCTAGCAGCCTCTCCTAGGAACCTGGCCCAGGGGCTGTAACTGCTCACAATGGAAGTGAGGTGTTATGCTCTTCATAGCAGTGTTGATGATAACTGCAAGATACTCACCAATCCCTGTAGTAGCATCATTCCATTTAACTAACTGCGGTATAGTCACACCATGGGATACTATGCAGCTGTGAAAGGAGGATGCTCTGAGGAGTTTAAAGAGGCAAGGCTGTCGGGGCCACAATGGCAGAGCACAGTTGTGGCTTTCTGATGATTACATATCCAGCCCCTCTGACAACATGTCCAGAGGGAGTCTGTTTGACTGCGTCAGTAGTGTCCGTCAAGTTCATAGCTTGCCTCTCTAAGGCTCAGCTGTGGAGCAATACCTCCCTAAAGGGCTGTCCTGTATCTCACAGGTGGCAATGATTGCCCCTCCCTAAACTGAAGCTGGAGCCATACTTCACATACTTTCCTTAATTTGTCTTCGCTGTGATTAGATACTTTACCCTGGGCTCACTAAAAATGTCTGACCAGAAAGCCAAGGTCAAGCCAAGGTAGTTTATTTATTTGCCTTCTTCCTTAAAGCTCCTGGACCAGCAGAGCACACCTTGGCTTACCATCAGGAGGCAATAGCTTTCTCAGCCCAGAATGTCTGGGATATTGGCAACCCATTGTTTCAAAGTACAAGTAAGAATTCTATTTCCTTCTGTCTTCTTTTGTAATTACACTTACCAAAGATCCTAACATCTGGTTGGAATAGTCTTTATAAACCAATTGTGTTCATCTTCAACCCCAAACTAAATTATGTTGGTCTACATCCCCAGCATTTGAAGTAAAACAAATTTTAGCCAACATAGCCAAAGATTGGGAGTTTTCCTCCTCCCTTCTAGGCACACACTTGGATTTTCATCCATGAAGGGGATACTATAATAAAGATATTTAGGTATTTGTAAGAAAATGTTTGAGCCATAACTAGGGAGATTTCCAAGTTGGGGGGTGTAGAGTGTAGCCTTCCCCGCCATCCACCTGGGCCCTGCCACAGTTGTAGTCCCCAAATAACTCACAGGACGCTATATTAATTATGAAGATATTGGTCATTTGCTTGGTTTCTTACTGGCTATCTCTGACTTAAGTATTTACTCCATAATTGTTAATCTAAGTATTTCTCTTACCGGAGAAAGGGTCCGGACTGCTTACCCCTATGGTGGCTACATCGCGACTCCCTGTGTTTCTCCTTCCCATAATCCTCCTTGACTCCTAGTCCCACCTATCTTGCTTCCCTATTGGTCAACAGTGCTTTATTGACATATACACAGGACTTCCCCATCGGGGGGTGTGAATTTCTTATAACAAAATTATTTTTAAATGCTTCTAAATAGAAGAACTGTAAATGCTCTAAATTTTATTTTTAAATAACTCCTTTTTTTTTTTTTGAGACATGGTCTTCTCATTCTTTAGCTCAGGCTGGCCCTAGCACTGGTCCAAAAGCAAAGAACCCAAAAGAACAACAACAAAACAACCCCCAAAAATTAAAAAATGTTTCCAGAGATGAAGACAATTAAACTACAAAGCATATTATATTTTATAAACCTGTAGACCTATGATTCTACTCACGACTCACAGAATTTGAAGAAAATGAAGAGGGTAAAACTGTTCACCAAAGTTCCTATCACACTGGTGCTCCCAACAGCTCAGTTGGGAGAGTGCTTGCCTAACATGCAGAAACCCCCCACATCAGCACAGGATCAACCCAGGACTTAGTGCCATACCTCAGTCATCCTAGAACACGAGCACCTAAGGCAGGAAGGTCAAAAGTTCAAGGCCATCATCAGTCACACAGTGAGTCCAATGACAGCTTAGAATATATGAGACTGGGACTCAGGAAGGAATGAAGGAGGGAAGGATTCCTTTACTGTTAAAGACGGTTCTTGTTGGGTTGTTTCAGTTCGTGCAACTAAGACCAAAGGCAACGTGATCCACTGGAGAAAAATCAGAAAACACAAGCAAGCAAACCTAGTATAAAGAAAGGGGCACAAATCACAGACTCGGAAAAGGCACAAATTCAGCGTGTTCTGTGGCTCACATATAAAAAAGAAAAAATGAGATGAGCAAACATGCTGCTTCCTTATTTAATAATAGAGGAAGAACATTTTCCATTTGAAAAGACACATTTCTGAAAAATCTCATTTCCCTCCCCATGGGTTCAACTTTAGCAGCTAGTGAGATGTGCTGTAGAGTGTAGAAAGTCTATTCTTAAGTGTATGCATGCAGATACACACATGTATATGTATGTGTATGCACACATGCGTGCACACAAACACCTGTAGCCATCGATGAACTATCGTAAGGAAATAAAATGATGAAGGGTGCATTTCCTGTGTGGAAATATTACAGACGACTTCTGTCTTCCCTTTCCTGACCCACTGCCACATTTTTCTGAATTTTCTGCAATTAATATCCTTTTCTTTTTCCTATCACAATACTATTTATTTGTTTGTTTAAAGAACATGTTTCCTGAAGCATGCTATGTAGCCAAAGATGACTTTGAACTCTTAATTCTCCTGCTTCTACCTCCAGAATGCTGGCGTGACAGTGCGTATCACTATGCCCAGTTTAGTATTTTTTATATTAATAAAAATGCCCTCGGACTTGTCATAACAGCCAAGCTATGGAATCAGTCTAGGTATCTGCCAACAGATGAATGGATAAAGAAATGCATATGTACATACATACATATATATGGAAAGAGAGAGAGAGAGGTTTCATCTAGCCAAAAAGCAGAATGAAATCATGTCATTTCAGGACAGTAGATGGTAGCAGATGTCACTGCCTTTAAGCAAGATAAGTCAGATACAGAAAGACAAGTTTCACAAACTTTCTGTCACGTGCAGAAGTAATAAAATAAAATAGACAACAGTGACAGAGGAAAGCAACGTCAGGATAAAGTTTAGTGAAGAAAGCCATTAACGTGTGAC